TTTATATTTATATATATTTAATATAATATTTTACTTTTAAATAAATATAAAATAACTTATTTATTATGAGTACTTTAAAAAAACACATTAATCATATTTTAAAATACTTAAAAAATAACATTCAACCTCTTAGAGAAAGCTTTACATTTCTTAATGGTATATACACTCCATCCTATCGTTATTAGGGAATGACAGTGAATTCTTTAAATATGTTTTAAGATTAATTTTTCTCAACTTTTCTCCCATTAAAAATAGAAAGAGAGGAGTACACAATATATAATAAGACATAAAATTAAATTCATAATATAAATAAAATTACAAAATAGTGATAAATAATCTCTCATATACCTTATGTTGAGGATCATAACATGGAATCATTCTAAAATATGTTCCACAACAAAAATTGAAGGGAGTATACCGTGCTCTACCCATGTTTACATATTGACTGAGTTCGCTCAGTCACGCTGTACTCGTAGAGCTGGGAAAAAGGATCATATCCACTGGGCTACCAATAAGATACTGGTCCAACGCACAAAAGATTGCAATTCAATTTATACTTCACAATAACATGCGTTTGAATCCCATCACTTGTGTGAAAATCTTCTCGATGGATAATTTATGAATGCTTCTTTAAGTTTGGGCACTCATTAAATTTTGAAATTTGAATGGTCTTGTTGCCTACTTTTGCGGGTTTGAATTCTCTTATAACCTCAGGTCATCATTGATTTGGCTCTGAAATGCAAAAAATAATTGAAGTTTGTAGTTGTCGTTTCGGCATGCGTGGGACCCAGTTCCAAAGTTGTGGAGGAGATTGATTTGGGCAGCACTACATATAAAAAGAGCACATCCTCCAATAAGCTGTGCGGGTTGATGGGACAGATGCCATGTGCAAACACTGCAAGACGCTCATGAAACCGTCCAGTTTGGATTGGTCGTGTCTGCTTGGGGCCATATACAGCTTTCGTGCAGTATATAATACTGCAAAATAGTCACTGCTCTGCGTTGCGATTAAACTTGGTGCTCTTGAATATGGATACAATCTAACACGCCCATGTGAGCTTTCCCATTCTATACCTCAATTTGATTCTACAGATACAATCATTCTTTTGTGTCTCGGGCCTGTTTTTTTTTTTTTTTAAATACAAGATCACAGAAAAATGGTGCAAAAAAGATTAAGGTTTTGTCATATCAGAAGCTCTGTCTTGTTTTATGCTAACAACACTCTTGGTACTTTGATATTCTTTCTTGTGTCATGTTTCATACTTGTCTCTGCCTTCGTGTCTCTCAAAGCCACTTTTGTCTGCTCCAATTATGAGACCTTTGTTAGTCTTTTTTTTCTTTTTTGTTAAATCAATTTTTAAGGTATTAATTTACCATGAAACTACATTCAAAGCAGATAATATGATGAACAATGCCAAAACATCTACCCATATGCATGACCTCGTTTTCGAACATAACGATAACAACAAACTTTATACATGACACTTGTTAGTGAGACTGGCTATACTTATTTGTGCGTTTTAAAAATTCTATATTGATGAATATGGAATTGTACATGATATATATATATATATATATAGAAGCCCGGGTTTCAATTGTGCATGATGAATAATGTGAAAAACAAATTATGGGGAAATTAAAGAAGCGCAAAAATGATTGAATGAAGTTTTGGCTGCCACTTTATGAAGATTTGCAATTGATCCGAATCTTATCCAATTTTTCTTTAACGTAAGAAAAAGTTACTGTCAATCAAGCACTCTTGAATTGAAAGTCTACCTAACTGGCTTCTCGATCTTATCCATCCCCCCCTGATCTCCTCAACGCCATAATTAGCCTCCTCGCCAACTAATCAGTAATTTCCTCATTTTCACCGTGCTTTCCTAACCTCTCTCTCTCTCTCACTCACCCACGCGCTTTAATTTTAATTATATTTGTACTTTAATTGATCATGCTGGTACATTGTGATGGACTAGAACAGTCTATCTTTATTCTATAAATTTACTTATTTCAACATTAATTTTGGGTTTTCATTAGGACTGAGAGTTAATGATAAGCTGTGGGCAATATAGCTTCTTACTGGACCACATATGGATCGAGTCCATTTTGGACTGTTTATATAGGAATTGGCTCTCAGTTTTGGAAGAAAACCACTTCTAAATTTTATAAATACACGTTTAATTATTTCATGCATGTTCGTCATTAAAATTTCAAAAATCATTTCAAAACAAAATAAGACCATACACAGCTATAACAAAAGTTTGTTTAATTTTTGATAAGGACATGGCCTGTAATACACAACTATAACAAAAGTTGGTTAATTTTTGATAAGGATATGGCCTGTAATTTCTCCTTCTATTTCTATATATAAACAAAAAATCATCACTTGTTGTTCTATTTTTTTATAAATAAGATAATATATTTTAATAACCATTTATTATAATTTTTCTAAATCATTCATTACAAACTCATAATTTTCATTCATAGTAAATAATTAATGCAATTTTATTTTGATTGAATAAAAAAATATTTTAATATATTCTTTTATCCAAATATAATTATTACAGTTAACTTATTTTTTTAAACCATGCAATACAATTATTATTTTTCATATATAGAAACGAAAAGAGTATAAAGTTTTGAGCTAAAATCTTACTGTTGATATGATAATTTTATTGGTGGGCTCGTTTTTTAAGCTTGAAGATATGTGGGTGAGTTTTTCGAATCCAAATCACACATGTTATGAACAAGTTCCAGTAACTAATTACATGTTGACTACGCTATTAACCTCGCCCTCTTCCTTTCACTAGTTCACACGTGTTTAAACTTTTTTGGGACAAAGACACGTGCTTAAACAGAATCCGAGTGGAACATGATACACACTCATGGAGGAGGAGCGAGGAGGCAAAGACAAAGGTGGATGGTGATGACATGTGCAAAGCTAAAAACGACACCAACTGCTCAAGTTGAAACCACTTTTTTTAGTGACTTCATCAACTTTGTAACATTTGTTAATTAATCAATCTCACAAATGAAAAATAAAAATAAAATGAGAGAAAAGGAAGTTTCTAGGAAAGAGAGGGCTCTTTCCATGTGGACAAGACGCGACGTACCCTATGTATAATGTGCCCCCCACTCTGTCTACTCCAATTTTCCATTCTTAACCCAAAAGCAGCCCCTCAATTATTATTAATATTATAATATAATTCTCCTAAATCCTTCGTGCTTATCTATGATTACCTCTGTCTTCTCTCTCAATCATATGCGTTTTCCCGCCAACCACCATTCCCTAATCCTTTATTATTCTTCTAAAAGGCTACCTCGTTGTCAGGTAGAAAAATATAAATAAAATAAAAGTGCGATCCCATGTTGGATTTAAAACATATATGCAGAGTAAGCTACACACACCTTCCATACGAATACTGGCTAACCAATCCAACATTGAAAACCAAGGCGGTTGGAGATAAGATTCCCTCTCTCTCTCTTTTTTAATTAACAAAAATCATCATTGTTGTTATCGCCAATGACATCATCGGCTTCTATCACAATCTTTTTTCACCTTTTTTTTTTATAATAATGTTGGAATATACCAAGCATGTCCGGGCTTGACCAATTGCTGCATTTTTACATGTTACCGCTCCGTTTTGTTTAAATTAACTTGTATCATATTTAAAACATTAGTATTATTGTTTTTATATAATATAAGGAGTAAACTTCACTAACAATAAAAATTATCTTCCTTAATATATATAAGATAAAGGGCAGACCTCTCTTGACTAAATTGTTATATGCATGATGGTTGGGATTCAAACTTCCAGCTGCGATACTTGCTAAAATGACGAGAGCTTTTACTATTCATGTTAACTTTAGTTAGCAAAACACTATTGATATAGAGCAACCAAACGGCAGTTCATAATAATTTGAAATCCCACGGTGCGTTGCCTCGCGGAGAATAACATTAATTGAAATAGTCTCACAATTGAAAAAAATTTAATTCATAAATTTAAATCAAGTCTAAAAAAGTACAAATAGCTTAACTGTTTAAATAGATTTATAAAAACTTAAATGACACAATCCTAGTTAATATAAGATTTCAAATTAATAGATCACATCCTAATGGACATATTTTATCTTCATTTGAATTAGAACAAAATAAATTAATTTTCCTAAACTTAAAATATGAAAATAAAATAAGTAAACCAATTTCTTAAATTTTTAAAAATAACATTAATTAAATTAATTGGACTGATGGGCCTAAATATTTTAAGTTAGGCCTAATATGTTAAGAGTTTTTATTTAATCTTTTAAAATTCTATTTGCCTTCAAAACTTCTTAATCATTTAGAAAATCACTAATTAATGAATTTAAGACTTCTTTCTTTATCCTAGCTTTGGATCAAATCATTAGTTCTCCAACATCTTGTAACAGATTAATAGTATTAAATGTTGAATTTTGACTTGTCTCTTAATTCCTATGGATTATTGTTTGGCTTTTAGGTTAAAATGCACTTTCAACTTTATATGAATGTGGAAAAAGATTTAACCACAGATGTCTTGTCTCGAGGATGTTGTTGCACGACGAGCTTTTCACAGAAATGGGCCGAAGTTTGACGCCGTGTGCCAAGACTGGTCTGCTTGAAATATATTTTGGGCCGAACCCTATTTTTGACCATATCGCCCATACAGATTTGGCCCATGATACGCCGACACATACCAAATTGGGATTTTTTGGGCCCCAACCCAGTTAACAATTAAGATTCAAGATCAACACACACAGACTGACAGACACCACGGAGGACCCATTTAATTTAAATAATTATGGATATAATACAGCAATTCTATGATATTTTAATTTAATATATCTATTATATTTTACTTTGTATCGAAATTTAAAATTATTAAGTATGAAAAGTTCATCGTAGTTGCCGTATAGCATGAAATGAAATATCAAAAGTCAAAACTATTGGAATGAAGATGCACAACCAAGAACCAAAACAATTATTGATTGGAGGGTGCTGTACTGCAAAAGCTACGGCCCACGAGAATTAATGAACATGGTTGGTATGATTTGAGTGTTGATTCACTTGGCTTTTAACAACATCTTTACTTGCGTCGCGTATTGGTGTAAACGACGATTATTGGATCAAGAGGAGTTTCGTTGTGGGGAGAGCGAGCGAGGGATATGTATGCTTGGTCGTATCATTTCCAAGAACGTTAAACGACAATGGCGGCAGTCTCACAGAAGCGTAACATCAAGACTAAAGCAAAACAGGCACACGATACAAAGCGGCTCGCACAGGATTGACGAGGAGAAGTCGCAGTTCAAGGGAAACACTGTCTTCGAATTGTTGTTTAGAGATATCAGATAATCCCCTTGCTTCGTTTCCCACTTTCACGGATTTTCTATTTTTCTCGTGAGGAATCTATGTGCGGCAGGTGTTGATTTTGGTGGGTATTGTGATGATCAGTAGCTCGATTACTGCTTGGGTCAGTGACCTTTTTGCTTGCATAGGGTGAGCCCTCCATTTTTATTTCTGGTATTAGCTAAAATTTTGATGCAATAGGCTTGCTTGAACATTCCCACTTTTGGAAGTGTTTTTTATTGTATCGACTTGGTTGCTCGTAGTCCTGTTTTGTTTTCTCAAATGGAAACATTTTACTGCTGAAGAAGCGTAACATTTGGGCAACAAGGCACTGATTTGCGCTGGTTTTTTTAAAACCAACGAATTAAATTTGTCTTCGGAACATGGGCAATTCTTTATTCATTGCACGTTGACTTCTACTGCGTATGAGTGATTTGGCTTAAATATTTATTGTATTACTGCTCAAAGATTTGGTATTCTGAATTTCATTATTCAAGTTTGGCTGCTTTCTGTATTTTTTTTGGCAAACTACATGGTCGTGATTTTCTTTGTACTGTTGGGAGTCATATTGGTGGCTATTTCATCAGGTTTTTGGTTCATAAGTTGGGTTAAGATTCACTAGTGATATTAAATTATGTTATTTCTTGTTGAACGAATAAATGGGGGGTGCCGGAAGAGAAATTTTCTCTCTATATTGACTATATTGATGGGAGAGGGATGAATGTCAGAATCGATGGTTAATAACCATTGCTTCTAATATTTGCTTTTACTATTATATCATATTTTCTCTCGTTTTAATAGACAAAGTTGATTCAGTGGAATAACTACCATTACTATGAGACTGGCATTTGTTCCATCAGATTTTCTATAAGAAGGCTGAATTGTTCAGTACATTACATGGCATCTACCGAAGGCTTTTTTTTTCAATTAAAGCTGTTTTAAGTGATTTTTTCTTTTCTTTTACATTTTCCTCTTTTTTTCTTGGAACTGTCCTGTACATTATGTCTTGTGATTTAATAACTACTTATCTTGGAATAGCAAAGTTGCAGTAAACTACTATAAAATGGCAGAGAAGAAACATGTGTATCTCAAACTTACAATTGATCAATATGTTTCTACCCTTGTGGATTGTGTTGTGTATCCCCATATTGTAGTAAGTATCTATGCTTAAAAGTTGCGGATCAAGTAAAGAGGCAGTAGTGATGTCAACCCTAATAACACCAAACTATTTACTGAATAATTGAAGAAATGAAGCAAAATGTTGAACTTTTGCAGTAGGTACTGTTTAACTTCTTTGACAATATTATGTGGGTGATCTCTTACTCCTTAGCCGCATTGAACATCAAGAGCAACAAGTTGAGGATTAATATCTTCCGATTGCTGTTAAGAACAGAAATATAATGAGCAGGTTCTTCTGCAGTATTCCAGGCATAATTTCCTTGATGGTTTTGCAATCTTTTAAGGCTACTCCAGTCACTTTAGAATCTTTTCTTCTATTTACCACACTTGTTATTGGCCTGTGTTTTGCTGCTATTTAACTTGTTTTTTAACAGTGCAGTAGTTGTTTTGGATGTCGCATGAAACCTACACCAATTATAGCTGTGGATGAGCCAACAAAAGGACTAAGAATTCAGGGGCAGAAAGTAAGGAAACCAACCATATCAGATGGTTTCTGGAGTTCGAGCACATGTGATCTGGATAACAACGCTGTTCAATCTCAAAGAAGCATCACCTCTGTCAGCACATTAAACCAACTTTTCTATCATAGTAGCGAACTTTCTCCCACAGGCACCCATCCTGAATTTGTGAACCAAGGCAACTCCCACATTACTGCTGGTTTTTTTTTTCTATTCCCTCCCTTGCAACTACTGATATTTTTTAATTTGCATCCATGCCACTTATGGTAAATGAGATGTTTTGTTATATGCTCAATATTGTATGCTGGTATTGTATTCCAGGGTAATTTTAGCTTGCTTGTATATTATGGTTATGTTATTTTATCTGTAAGTACTTTTCCTTTTTCAAGGAAAAAGAAAGGTTGATCTCTACCTCTTACTGCATAATGCAGGTCTTCTTCTCTGGAATGAGAGCAGGTTTCAGTGGGTTGGAAGTAACAGATCTAAGAAGCAAAATAAACAGCAACAAGAACCCCAACTTAAGTATGTCATTTCCATAGACACTGATCCTGTTAGTTAGAGTGTAACTTTCAAACCCACTCCAATTATAATTTTGATCATTTAAGATGGTTAGGCTTGCCTAGAGTGGGATGAAAATCATGGGATAAATATGTACTCTATCCATCAAACATTTTTAAGTTTGCTGCTTCTGATGGCCATCAACTGTTAGGGCCTGTTGGTTTATTAACCTCATTTTTCAACACATTCCATTCACTTTTTGGTTCACTTCTTAAGTATGCACGTAAGTCCTATAATCTACACCTTGTGCTCATGTCAATGATTTCTTTCTCACCTTTGTACTTCCTTGAAGTTTCTTTTACTTCTTATGCTGCTCAATTTGACAAAAGTTGAAGCCAAATCACCATATTTTTGCTCAATGAAGCATATATTATCTGAAATAATATATATTCTTTCCCATACTGATTCTCATTCTGTTGGTTGCAGTTGGAATGCTACTTATGATAGTTTGCTTGGGACTAAACAACCTTTCCCCAGGCCTTTACCTTTGTCTGTAAGTATCTTCTACATACACATGCGTCCGCGCACACATTTCCTTGTTGAGGTTTCTTTTAGGCAAAATAGCACAATTGCTTATTTCTGATATAATATTCAATAAATAGGAAATGGTTGAATTCTTGGTGAAAATTTGGGAGCATGAAGGGATGTATGATTGAGACTGATTGGGGCTACCGAAGCTGCTTCTGACTTTCTTTTAATTAAAATGCAGTCTTTAACTGGTGAAAGGCTTTTGTCCATACCTGTGAACAGATGGTTAAAGAATCAAACACAAGTTTGTCTTCTGATTGTAATATCAAAAGGACAAGAACCTTTCTTAGTCCTCAAAGGATGATGTGACCATAAATTATTTAATTCTCCACAAACTGTATAGTATCACATTGGTACTCATGAAAGGGTGGAATACGAATGAAATAATACTATTGACTATTGAGTACTGAATGGATACAAGCTAGGGTTGTTCACGAGCGGGTATGGGCCACTCGTGGACATACTTGTTACCCACCCGTTTTTGGTTAAATAGGTGGCGGGCCACCCATACCTGCATATGCCTGATTGCACCTGTTTTAAATGGGTGGAAACAAGAATGGGTGGGTATTGGCAAGTTTGGGCTACTCGTTTAGTCTGTAACACCTGTTTCCTTTTTAAAAAAAATTAGTAGAAACATATGTTTTTCATCCTATTTGAATTTAACATAATTAGCATCATTCTAAAAGTTTAAACCTGTGAATAATACAATGATTAATAATTTAACAATAAATACACTAGGATCAATAATTATAATTTCCAAATAATCATAATCTTGGTGCATTAGCCATTTAGCCTCATAAATCATCATTCAATCATTTCTCACATCACATCCCATCATGCCACCACAAATCTAGAAATTCAAGAAGCACCATAACTCCATAAATAACATCATTCTAAAATTTTAAACACTAACACCTATCAAACTACACAAACAATAGATCACAAAGACGCAAACACAGAAGATCTTCATCAATAGTCATCAATCCTTATCTTCTTCAGAGTCACTTGATGATATATGGCAGAAGATTGGGCTACTGACTCTTCCTCTACAAGATAAATTAAAACAATTAGATTAATAAGTAATAACATATATCATATAATATGGAGAATGAATACAAATCAAATAGTTTATTCAAATTACCATTGGCAGTATGCAAAGTCTCATCAAAATAGTCAACATCAATCTCTTCTAGTAGGGTGCATGATGTTTATGATAGCCAATTTTAAGTGCAAATGAGTGCCTTGGTCATTTTTTAAGATAAGGAGCTCCTGAAAGTATCAAGCACTCGACCCCTAGTACTAAAAGTAGATTCCATAGACACTGTAGAGATAGGTATAGTCAACAAATCACATGCAATCAAACCCAAAACTTTTTATGTAGAAAAATTCACTTTTCATGATGTCAAAATGTCAAACCTATTATCACAAGCATCGACCAACTTTGCATTTAGAGACCCTTTCACCTCTGAAATTGGTTTCTTTGGACGCTTACTCACTATAATGGGTAAGAAATCTTGTATTGCCACATTAATATTTTTTTTAAAAGGTGGAGGAACTTGCTTCCCCCCCATTATTGGTATTGCTATCTCCCATCTCTATAGCAATTTCAGATGGTTCACCACCACTAATTGTAAGAGCTGTGTTAAGTACTTATTAAATAAGCAATGCAAGAACCTTATAATCTTTTTCTTCATTTCTCTCTTTTTGGAATCACCAATAAATGTTTGAAAGCAGTTTCAACATGAGAAAATTTGTGCCTAAGATCAAGAATCACTATTATCACCAACAATAGAGTCATGTTTTCTACCTTTCCCTAGTACTAAAAATACTTACTTTGCATCCTTTCTGCCATGTCACTCAACAAAGAATTAGATTCAGTTGCAATTGAATATAGCCGTGTCTTGATTGCAACTATTTTGAAAGCATGTGTTTGATGTGGCATAATTTGATCCTGAAAATTGAAGGGTCATAGTGTAAAACAACTCTAAAAAGATGAGGAACTCTTTTACAACACTTCAGTCATAGCCATTATGAGGCTTAACTGTACCTTTGTCGCCATCATGATGACCAAGTTCATCTTCACCGTCCATTTCCATCCTATCATCAACATAGCTTGAGCTTTAAAATAGTATAACTTTCTTTTTGAAGTAGTTCTTGTAATCTTGATTTCATCCTCTATTCTATCAAAAACCTTAGTGAACTTAATGGCATTTTGTAACATGAGGTATGTTGAATTTCACTTATTAAGATGAGCAAAAGACTTAAATGTTTGGAAAAATTATATATCATAATGCAAACAATCACAATGTTACAATTATTTAACTTAGACAATCCATGCTAAAAATACTCTTTGAATTGATTCTTAATTTTTCAACAAGGTTCTCGAATTTTTTAAGCCTTCCTGGAAAAGTTCTTACAAACTTAATTGCATGCTGAATGAGTTCAATAGATTGATTCATATCTTTAAGGCCCTCAAAAACAATCAAATATAAACTATGAGCAGTACATCGTATCTACAATAATTCTTCTATCACATACTATACCACCTAAATCCTTCAAACGTTTTTCGAAAAACACAATAGCAAAAACATTGGAGGAAGCATTATGAACTATAATTGCAAAGATTTCTCAATATCCTAATAGAATAAGCATCCCTCACTTTCATTGCAAATGGTATCCACTTTATGGTTTTCAACCACACAAATTCAAAATTCATTTTTGTAATGTATATTTCTCATCAATACAATAGACAGCCAAACACATAGTTGGAATTGTGTATCGAAGTCCAACAACCTATGGTGAGGGACACATGAACTTTAGATTTCTTAGAATACCTTTTTCAAATGTTTTGCTTCTTTTAGATATATCTTGTAGCACAACCTAGTCATAGTGGTATGTGAGAGGCATGTAAATCTTAGTTCAACCACTTCTAACATTTTTTTTAAAACCCTACCTTTTCATAACTTGAAACAGTATCTCGTCCAAGATGATGAATTGAGCAAGTCGGATTCTTTAGGCAACAATCAAAATGTCGCCAAAGGTTTTTAGTCCCAATTTTGGAAGGATGGCTAGCAAAATCCTTTCCATAATAGTTGCATTTGGCTCAATGCTCACCTTTTTTGTTTATAAACTTTTCAAAATGATTCCACATGTTAAATGTTGTGCTCTTTTTTCGTTTGGGGGGTGGTACTTCTTCAACTTGAGTAGTTTTAGATTCAGTAGGTGGTGTGATGGGGTTGGTAGCTTTAGACTTCCACAGCTTGCACATTTTCCATGGGTATTTGTGTGTTGCTCAATTAGCCCTATAGTGAATTAAAAATACTAGAATAAACCAATCACAAACTATAAAAAATCACAGCCCACGGATTTAATTCAAGTTTAAAACAAAACAATCGTGTCATTTGCATCACAAATGCCACCAGCTAATCACCGACCTGCATGTCTAACATTATATTTCTAGGTTCCCCTTTATTTTGTTCTATGAAAATCAAACTTGTTCTCCATATCTGTGTGCAATTGAGTCTTAATAGGTAATAACGACCTTGACGAGCCTTCTCTAAATGTTCAAAAAAATCCAGACCGCATCAATCTAGACAACTAATCAATACTAATGAAGGAGAACAAAAATAGAACAAGCAAATGTTTTATGTCTCCGAGCTGCTAGGCCGCTTGGCAAACAGTGAATGGGCGATGGGCAATGTGATGGCAAAGGCGAACTTTCTCGAGTTTCACTCTTGAACTCGAACAAGGAAGAAGAGAAATTGAATGAAGTTAGGGCTGTTGGTTTGGGTGACTGACTAGGTGAGTGGGTGTGGGTCTGATTAAAAAAAAAAAAAGTATATACGATCGGGTACGAGCTACCCAAGTCTTTACCCGTTATCCACCCGCTTTTTGTCACACAGGTAGCCAACCGCTCATACCCGTTTTTCTCCTTTCAAGTATGGGGTACCAGATCAAGTAGGTACGAGCAGGTTTGTGGGTAAAATGCTCACCTCTAATACAAACAATTTAGTATATCAAATCAATAATCAGATCATTCTTCTGAGGCCAAACTGGGATTTTGTTCTAAAACTAAGCCAATGCTTTATTGTTTTGCCCAACGGAAGATGGACGTGTATAATGTTCAACCTAAAATCTGATTGATGGAATCCAGACATCACTGCCGTTGCCTATAATTATTATGTTTGTAAAGTGAGTCTTACCCACGAGGTGGCTGGAAAGATGAGAAAACACTAGTTCGTTTTCTATCGAACAGAATGTTTTCCATTGTGGCCAAAACCAAAAAGGAACAGCAGTGTTTTCCTCCGACACTAGAGGCGTTTCTGGCGCTGGTCTACATTACATTTACGCTTTCTATTTTGTTCTTTCACTAGTACAAGAATCAATTATTTTTTCCTAGTCAGCACACTGATGCAGGCGGCTTATTTCATATTGTCATTCTTTTATTATGCAACGTTTGCCAGATCAGTACCTAAAAGCAAACAAGTTAGCATGTTTCTTGAAACTTCTTGTTATGCAATACTTGCAAACACAAGCATTATATCAGATGGGGGATATCAGTTGTGGCTGCTATTATCGATAATTCTAAAGGGGTGAAAATGGAGGCTAGCTTTTGTGATAATTCGTTTTGCTAAAGCATTGTGGAGATTTCATACAGAAAACAAAAATGGTGTCTTTTGAAGCATGGATCCTAAAGATGGTGGAGAGAATCAAGTACCTTTGACAGTTTCAACTTATAAAAAAAAAAAAAAAAGGCTACGGTTAAAGTCGTGCAAGAGAAAACAGTTTCAGGTCATGTCATTGAGCAAAAAATCCCGACATTCCAAAGGAGAATCGTTGAGAATCTTGATATCTTAATTTGCGTGGTATACACATGGTGGGTAAGCTAGCATGCATGTTTATGAGTTTTTCTGAAGACATGGTTAAAGATAACGATACAATTCTATATCGTAATATCTTTGATCTCCTTGATAGTGTGGGTGATATTGGAAATTGGGATTCATTTCAAATTAGGTTGAGAGCCTTAATCGAGATAAAGTAGACACTCACTCTTGGGTATTTACCATCTAATAAAGACTAAACTCTTCAAGAATGGCTAAAAGCTTGGCTATAGTATTAGATTAGTATTCAATATTCTGTGTATTTAGTGAATTCTTTTATCTGTTTATCGTTGCATTATTTTAAAAAATAGAACCATCTGCGTCCAATATCTAACCCAGCCTGGTTGAGGTGGGTATCATTTAGAATTCATATCTCTACCTCAAATCCAGATATTCAACCTTGCTTCCAATTTGAGGTTGTCAATTATATTTTGATAACCGATGAAAGCAATATCACCCTCAGGAGCAATCTCAGTTGGAAAATATGTTTCTACACTTTATGTTTCATGTGTTCTGGTAAACAG